TAATATTTTTTAAATATAATAATTAAGTATTTTGTTTAAATATAATGATTATTTTAATTATATTTTTGATTTTTGATATTTAAAATGAAATGTTTATTTTGTATTTGATTAAGTTTATTTGTATTATATGAAGTTTTAGTAAGTTGTATTTATGTATAATTTATTTGTAGTCTTGAGCATTAGTACATGATATTTTATGCATAAAAAGTGGTTTTTATGAGTTTTTTTCAAATACTTTGTAATATAGTAAATATATAAAAAGGATCATGTGAAAAGCTAAATATTTTATGAAAGGCAAGAAATTACACTATCATGTATGATCACTTTTTTGGATGTGTTTAATATATGATTAAATTTTTATGTGTTTCAATGCAACACGTGTTTAATCAAAATATGGTTAAGATTGTGTATCATGTATGTAATTAACTTATGAAACTTTTTATTTTTTATAAAATGTTTAGCTTTTCATTTGAACATGTATTATGTATATTATTGAATGGTAATAAAATATTAAATTTAAATATAATATAATAAATAAATAAAAACACAAACCACAAAAAGACAAAAGTAAAAGAGAACTAATGTTAAAATGGTTAAAAGGAATAAACAACAAAAATACTTTTTATTTAGTTGGACCTATTAGAGAATTTAACGGTGTTAGGATAAGAAACCAAAGCCGTTGCGAAACGACAAACGGACGAAATCCAAGTTTTTAAAGTTTTAGGTCGACATCTGTTGACATTGACAAACATTAAAGACCAAAAATAAAGTTTACTTTTTAATTGAATCATGTCCCAATCGACAATAATATTTTTAAGCAAATGACATGTTTTTTATAACGTAAAAATACAAGATACAATATTTAATTTTTAGTCTAAAATTTTATTAAAATTTTTAAGGGTCTAATATATATTTATAGATTTGAGATCCTGTAAAAACAACTTGTTTTTATTAGACATGTGAAACCATTTTTTTACATTTGAAGCTTCACAACAAAACGTTGTGAAGATAACCTTCACAATGATTTTGTTGTGGAGGTACGGTTTTTTTTATCTTCACAGTGTTTTGCTGTGAAGTTTCAAGTGTAAAAAAATATTCTTACGGGTCTCAAGAAAACAAGTTGATCTCACGTGAACCTAACGTTATATATAGTTATATTTAATTCTGAAAGAAAGATGAAGTGACAATAAGCCTATGTTTTTGAGAATTCTTTGAGTAGTGTAAGACCATTGAGAATTTTCTTAGCTGTTTTTTAAGTCTCCCGAGATTAGTTAAGGTGTGTGTAAATCGACACAGACATCCACAATTAACAAAAAAGAAGATAAACAATTAGTTTTGTAAATAACATACATACGATAATGGGAAAAAGAAAGCAATCATCATTTGTGTTTTCCAACCAATTCAATCTAGAAGATGACGGTATATCTGTTTAGAATTCAAACCAAATATTGGTTTTCCTTGAACTTCGGTTTAACCAATCGTTACTTAATTTGGGTATACAAATACCCTAAATCGAGGAAACCAAAAACCAAAGCATTTAGGATTTAAAAGACATAATTCTTTAGTAAAATATAATATGATATATAAAATGCGTTTTTTTTTGTTTAAATGTACATGTAAAAAATAACTCATAAAATATTAATAACTCAAGATGTTCTTAACCGGTTATGCTGTACAACATATTTCAAAATACACAGATGACATGAATACATGAAAACTTTTGGGTTCATAATGACGCAATAATCTCGACCATATTTATGAGAAATAAACGATACTTAGCATTGTTGCTAGCCTTACAAAACTTTAATCTCATTCATGAAAACCAATTAAGCTTATCTTGAAAACCGTTAGTGGGGGTAATTTTGTCCATTAACTTTTATTTTTATAACAAATTAAGTCTCTCTAACTACTTTTCATTTTATAACAGAATTGGTATCTTTTTTTAGTCAATAAAATTTGCTGACACAAAATATATCTTCTAAATATAATGAGCAAAATAATTTGATAATTTGAAGTTTAGATTTTAACATGAAATATTTTCTCTTTTAAGAAACTTTACTTATATGAAATCATTTAACTCAAATAAAATATAAAATATATGTTTTGTTTTACTTAGTTAAAAATTTAAAAAAGTATCTATACTATATTATAAAGTATTTGATAAAAACTCTTAAAAATTATTTTTTTTGCATGAAATATTTTTTATTGATGCATATTACTTAAAATTCAAGATTACAAGTAATTTTACGTAAGTACAACTTATTAACACTATTTTTAAATTCGTGTAACTAATTGCAGATAAACATAACCAAATACAGGATAAACATCTATTTTAAATATAAAAAATCTAAAATATAATTAAGATAATCATTGAGTTCTAACAGAATGTTTAATTATTATCTTTATCAAAAAATTATATTATTAAGTCAAAAATAAATTATTTTGTTATTAAATCTAAATTAAATTATAATAAAAAATTGAATTAAAGAAGTTACACAAAAAAAACAAGAACTATTAAATAGTTAATTTGATACTAATATTGATTTATTTTCTTTTCAAATTTATATTTTATTTAAAAATAAAAACATTACCGCTTTTTCAAAACCAAATAAAATCGTATTATATCGATAGAGACAAAGAACAAAAACTAAACATTAAAATCGAGATTTATTTTGCTTCATTGCGCGAGTATCCTTCTAGTAAAACTAAATATCTGACAGTATATTAGATAATAAGATATAAAAGTATACATTTAAGTAATTTACTAAAACTAAGTAATATCCATAAAGATATTATGGTTAAATTAGATATACAAACAAAATTTAACTAATTTACTTAAATTAATTAATATACACTAAAAATGATTAAAATTAAATGATAAATTAATAAATATATAAAAAAAATATTATAATTTAACAATAACTGGTTGGAGATTTTTAATGCTATTTAATTTACATAAATTATGAAAAATATATCAACAAACAAACAACAAAATGACACTTAGAATATCTCCAACAGCTATGCTAATTTTAGAAATCTTAACTATGTTAAATTCTTATCTAAAATAGAGAAAAAAAGGAGAGCAAATTGAAAAAAAAATATTCAAATTTAGAAACAACATATAACATACCTGTTGAAGATGCTTGGAATATGAAACCTCCGTATTATATTGCACGCATTTAATTTATTCGGAGCTATTGGATCGAATCGGTATTGCTACCCGAGCTCTCTTATTGAGTTGCTCATTCGATGGACTTTCTCAATATTATGCCTTGAAGAGGACTCGAACCTCCACGTTCGTTGGAGGGTATTTTTGTCAATTAATTTATTCAGAGCTATTGGATCGAATCAGTATTGCTATCCGAGCTCTTTTATTGAATTGCTCATTCAATGAACATTCTCAATATTATGCGTTGAAGAGGACTCGAACCTCCACGTTCGTTGGAGGGTATTTTTGTCAATTCACACATGCATAAATGATGGGGTTAAAATAAGTGAAAGGGGACAAGTTGTATTAATGTAAGATGTTTAGGGGAAGTTGATGTAACTTATCCAACTACCAACCAAACACATCAGATTCTTCCCTACACTCCACCACATACAAACACACCCTTTCTCTCTTCTTCCCCTTCGATCCATCGCCTTTTTCCCCTTTCCTAACTCAATTCTTCTCAACAATTCACTCCCCCAAGATTCTCAATACTTTCATGAAGCTTGCTACCATTGATTCATAGCTCCGCTGTAATCGACGGCTCCGATTTTTACTCCGGCACGCTAAATTCAACCAAAAAGGTATCTTATTAGGGTTTTGCTTAGGATTTTACTGCTTTACTTACTGTTTTACTTTGTTTTGATCAATTCTAGATCATATAGACGAGTAATTCTGTAATACTAGTGTATAACTCTGTTAGTCTACGATTCAATTTGATGTGGTTGACTGTAAAAAAGTTTGTAATTTTCGACTAATTTATTGAATCCAGTAGAGAAAAATAAACAAGGAATTTAAATGAAATCTTTGATATCACTGGATTGTTTTACTCGGGAAAGCTGATACTAGTATCTAAAGATTAATTCTGGACTGATATTTTACGTTGGGATTGTGTATTTAACTTATCTGTTTAGTTTTTTGGGATCATGTTTAGCTTCAAAAGTTGGTTTTATAATTAATTGATTGGTCAGTATGGTTATTGTGGTGCTAGTCAATTTTTGAGCGTTTGGCACTTGATTCTGTTTATAGATTGTTGTGTAGCTACTAAAGCTTTTCTTTAGTTACTGGGAAAATGAATGAATGGAAATTTTTAGAAGTTGATTTTGTAATCTTGCAATAAAACAGGGGGAAAATATGATGCATTTAGAAGAAAACATGGACCTTTTCAGAAAGTGAATTATGATTTATGGACTGGTAAAATGGGAAACATTGGTTTTTTGTTGATTTTATGGGATGGTTGTGTTTCATTTTCAAAATGGTCTATATGTGTTTCTAAGTTCAATTAATAAGTATCTAAAACTGCCACTTGCACTTTTGGACTTCATATTTCGTCTTATGATGCCAATTCTCTATGATTTGACTTCTACAAACTTCTAGATAGAACAAAAAGACTGGTCGTAAATTTTCAATTGGATTTGGCCGTAAAAGGGCAAGCCTCTTTATGGTTAACAACAATATTTATGTGAACTGAGGGCTTGATGCTGTGAGGCTCGTTAATAGCTATGCGATGCTTATGAAGCTGACAATTCATCTATAATTTGACTGAAGGCATGCTTAGAAATATTTCTAATAGGATACTACTTGTGTGGAGACAAATATTGATCAAGTGTCAGCTTATGTAACTATTTGAAACATTAGCTTTTGGGCAGAGTGAGTAATTAGGCCTCACGGCATGCTAGTCTCACTATTGATTGTTATAAATAGATTTGGCAGTGATCGTATACTCATATGTGTTGTCAACTAAAAAAGGTAGGGCAAGATAGCCCCTTTGAAAAATCAAAGGCATTTGAAACAAGAAAGATAAAGTAGATTACAATGGGTCAGGCCCAAAAATAATTCCGCTTTAGGAAACCTTGGCAGCTGAAATAATATTAGCAACTTCTCAAAGTTAAGCAAAACTTACCAAAAGAAGCGGAATGGGAGAACCAAAAATCTGAATAAAATAAATGAACAAAAGTAAAGGGTTTTTTAAGCTAATAAAGCAATACAGTTACCAGACCTAAGTGCATGCTTGCAAAATTTGCTCTTTTGCCTTAGCGAATGACTTGGAAATTTGAGTTTTAGAGTATGCGCTGAAATTTCTGTAGAGAATTCTGTCCAGTGTAATTTCAAAACATTCTAAGTAAATTCTTCTCTTGAAGATACATGTGCTATTTATACCTACTTTCCGGGCTTCAAGTTTTGTATTTCTGTGTGTTCTAGTTTTATCTAATTAAATTCCATTGCCACATGTGTAGGGTAGTAATTTCATAGAAAATGCCTGAGATATACTTTCTGGTGACAGGTTGTACAAAAGATTCATCATATACCTGTTTATTAATCTTAAGCAAACATCTTACAACTATTATGGCATGGGCCTACTCCTTAGAGACATTTCAATTTTTACATTTCAATCCCCCAGCTTTCTCCTACTTTTATAAATCTTCAGATTTTGTTACGAGAATATCAAACACCAGATAATCTTGTCCATGTTAGCTTTTCCAGCTAAATCTGCAATTTTCGATCTTTATACTTTTTAAGGCTTGTCATCATGGGAATGGCATCTTTGCTTCAACCAGCAGTGATGTCTTAAGCTTGTGACGTGTTATGTGGGTGCATGAAATGCATGTTAAGGACTAGGGTGGAAGAACGCTAAAGAAGGCGAAGAGAATTGTTGAGAGAATTTCTTGAATGCATTTTTGGATTTTGTGTTGGATTTAAGAAGTCTCTATGTTATCAATAGAATTTTAGATACAATAACTTTTTGGACGTCATATTGTTCCATGTTGTACCGCCAAAATGTAGCATACATCTATGTGTCAGGAGAATCAGAGAAATCCACATAATACAAGAATGCCTTGGAGATTTTAGAAAGTAAGAGGGCATTCCTTGGAGAATGCTTCTTGTGCTGTCAGCAGGTTTCATCTGGGTGCTTGGGTGGCACAGAGTCACCCAAAATTAGACGGCCCATGGCATAATGTTGATCACTGTTCAGTAGACAGGCAACACGACCTGTATGTATCGAAAAGTAAAGGCGAACTTGCCAAAATCTAAACATAAAACCTGAACGATAAATTGAGCGGGAAACCTATTACTTTTTTTTGATCAAGCCAGTTATCCCACTCGTTGATAAGATGATCAAGTTTTCCATGTTGGAAATATCACATGAAATTTGTTATGGCTAGGTAAAATACAATTATAACTAGTCACACACTCATATTCCAGAAATACAGAAACAAAGAGACAGGTATCACAACTCTTTCTACCCATCCAGTTACATTCTTTTTTTGGCGTGGGACTTAGGCATAAGGGCCTTCAATAATTTGATTCATTTTCAATCAGACCTTGCTCTAGCTTCTTCAGGGATCATTACTTCTTTAAGTGTGTATTTCTAGGTAGTTCAGTGTTGAACACATAATGGCGATTAATACTTTATGCACATTAGACTTGCCCACAGGCATAGGTTATCAGAGTCGATTTATTCCACTTACTCCATGGCGATAGGATGCAATTTATCTTATAACATTTAACACCGAGTAAGTTGACCCATTCTTTCCTCTTATTGATGCTCAAAACTAATAACTAAAAAGACGCATTCAGTGCAATTGTTACTGATGACCACACTGGACAGCCATACAAACAAAACAGAATCCAGGCACCATTAGGGCTTCCACACTAAAATAACTTCCAGATATTGGAATTTAAATATATTGGACTTCTTTCCCAGGTCTTGAAACATTCAATCATCGAATCATGAGAAGCTACTTCCAGCTTTGTGTTCACTCTTCTCTGATTAGAACAATACTATGTTGGTTCCCTCAGTGAACTAATTCTAATATCACATTTCAATACTAATTTGCATGTGTATTAAATGAAAGGTGTCTAGAAAGAGATTTGTTCTTCTAAGTGCACAATTCTGATACTTGGCTCCATAAATTAGGTCCTGACTGAAAAAGACTCGATGTTTATCTCTTATCTAAACTAGAGTCAGCTGAAGTTCAAGAGAGGAGTGCAGATACCAAGGAATTGAATGCAACCAAGATGGAATTGAACTTACCATGATGGACAAGCCATCTGACACTTTAGAGTTGACAAATGACACCGACAGTAGAAACCAGACATCACTATCTAATCGAGAAAGAAACTCGGAGTCTATAATAGTTAAGGAGTTGCATGATATGCATCAAAGGCAAAGTCCTGATGGTGGGATCCATGTCTCACATTCCAATCAAGAAAGAAGTTCCACCTCAGTGATACTCGACAAAGAGTCTGACAGTCAAAATTACAGACAGGACCTTCATACTGGGTGTGCGGTGTCAGAATCTGATCAAGAAGGAAGTGCACTCCCAGTAGTACCGAAAAAAGTATCAAACACTTCGCAGCAAACTCCTCCAGGTGCTGGCGTTCCTGCATCTAAACCTGATCAAGAAAATGCTATTGTGGTGTTAAGGCCTGAGAAAGGGCTGGATAAATTACCACTGAGACGCAATGCTGACAGTGTCTCCCATGCATCACATTCTGATCAAGGTATCTCTTTCTCAAAACTACCTGAAAAACCTACGGGGGATGGATATAATTGGAGAAAATATGGTCAAAAGCTTGTGAAAGGGAATACATTTGTCCGCAGCTATTACAAATGTACATCCGCTAATTGCCCTGCAAGAAAACAAGTGGAACGATCGCATGATGGGCATATAACGGAAATAAATTACTTGTGGAAGCATGAACATCCCAAACCAAATACACTTCAAAAAGGCTCGGGATTTGTTCTGCCTGTTCAATCAAAAGGATCTGATGACCCTTCTTTGACCACATCTGAAGGTACATGATCAAATCGATTTCCAATTTCATGTTTTGGTATTAATTGTTTTACTAAACTTGTTATGTGTAGACCATTCATCTGTGCATCCCGCGACGTCTCATGATCCCGAGGCATCAGAAACCGACACCCTTCAGCTCTCAGTGGTTCCTCCAAGTGAGAATTCCGTCGAAGTTGCAGCTTCACAGTCAAATGAAATAAAAAATGAGGTTAATAACGATATTTCATCGGACTCAAAGAGACAGTAAGTTAACGCACTACTTAATAGCGTCACATTTCACTCTTGAAACTTCTTAATACTGTCGTAATTTCATTTTTGAAATTCTTATATATGCATTTGTGCATTGCAATGGGGTGATATAATGTTTTTCAGGAAGAGAGAGAATTCTAGCATCAATGAAGGTGTTTCAACTAAGACAAATTGTGAGCCGCGAGTAGTTGTTCAGATAACAAGTGCAGTTGATATTGTAAATGATGGGTATCGGTGGCGCAAATATGGGCAGAAATTAGTGAAAGGCAATCCCAATCCGAGGTACATGATTAAATCTATCCTAGTTAAGGGTCTGTTTGTTAGCAGCTTAGGGTGCGTTTGGTACGCAGACCAGACAGGACAGGACAAGACAGAACAGAACACGACAGAACAAGACAGTTGTTCAACGTTTGGTAAGACATGACAGGACTGGACAGAACTGGTTAAAATGACCAATTTATCCCCAGTGAGCTGTTTATTGTTTTTTTTTACTAAATAATCAATATAAATGTTAACAAATACGGTGTCCAAAGTATAACTTACATCAAAACCACTGCTACTTGCAAAAATATATATGCAAAAATACATGATTTCATAATCAACTAATGATATATGAAAAAGGTAAATATAATATAAGCATCAAGAATCCATTATCGAAGCAAATCTATATGCATTCCATACTAAGAAGGAAAAACTACTACCAACAAGCGCACAATCAATTAAAATAGATTAAATATCAAATAGTAAATAAAATACAAGCATCAAGAAAATAATTTGGCTAGTGATCCCATATAGTATCATCACATTCACAAAACTTGGATTTCATAAATTAATAAACTATAGGGATGAATATATAATAAATTACATAAATTAATAAAAATATAGAAACCGTATAAAAATAATATTTTGAGGACAGTAAAATGAAAGTTTAAGAAACATAAAATACAATAAATAAAATTTAAAGAATGAATAAAATGTAAAAGAGAGACCTATTTGATGTTTTAGAAGAGAATTAAGTTTTATTTTGAGGTTATATTGGTAAAATATAAGTCTGTTCCACCTTGTTCCACCCTGTTCCATGGGGTAGGGGTGGAACAGGTCTGTTCCACTTTGTTCTACTCTGTTCCTGTCTGTTCCACATAAAATTCCTGCCAAACATAGGACAGGGATTCCTGTTCTGTTCTGTCATGTCCCTGTCCAGTGTACCAAACGCACCCTTAATGAGCTTAATGGAACCCACAACTTATTTGGTGAGCTCACAACTATTTGGTGAGCTCACAACTATTTGGTGGTGGCTTAATGATATAGAAAGTGGCTTATTCGATAAGCTTTTAGGGGGACTTTATGCAGAAAGCTAAGATTTTCCAAACCTACCCCCCCTAATTAAAAAACATGCTCATTCCATCTATGAAATAAGACCTTCCTAATCATCCACACAGGTAGCTTTATTCATACGAGACTTAATGGAAAACCAACCAAACAGTCCCTAATTCAGTTTAGAAAACAGTAGTTGATAATGGGTGTCTTCCATTTTGCTAAATAGTAGGAATGATTTTATTAAATAAACCCTCTCTTCAGAACGGTCACTGGATTCAGTTTTGTTTAGGTAAACGGGTGGTGTTTATGCAGGAGTTATTACCGTTGTTCAAGTGCTGGTTGCCCTGCCAAGAAACACGTAGAACGGGCATCCCACGATGAAAAAGTGGTGATTACAACTTACGAGGGACGACATGATCATGATATGCCTGCTGGTGGTCGGGCTGCTACTCAAAACATACCAGGAACCGCCACTGGCACAACAACATCGATGGACAACAACGATGGATCAAGACCTCAACCAGAAGCACAAGAATCTAATGGTATGGAAATGGTTCTTAATGTTAGTGCTACTTGAGACTAACGACCGCTGACTCTAAATAACAAAGTTCGGGGTGTAGGTTATGTTCCACGGTTTGTCTATTGTTCGATTCGACACGTAGTAAGTCACATAGTGTTGGTGTATAGCCATAAATCTTTATTATTGGCAGATTGGGATGAGCTATAGATATATATATCATTGGACAAGCTTTTTTTCTTCTTTATATTTGATTTCATTTAGTTGAATAGCAGAAGGTGTTGAGTTTGACTTGTGAAATCAGCCAACACCACTTTGCAGTGGGGTGGTGTCATGATGTTGGTCAACTCTTTTTTGTGTTTCCAGTTGGGTCTTCCTTGGGATGCTCCCATTTTATGCTTTTTTGGGAAACTCACCAAGAAGAAGCATTTTTCCCATTTCTCAATTCCCAATACTTATCTATTTCCCACAATTTCCCAAAGGGTGAATGTTGGTTTGAGCCTGGCTCCAAAGGTCAAAAATACTAAAAAGTTTCAAGTTTAAATCCGAGGAGGAATAAAGATCCTCTTGTGGTTATGGAGGTTTAAATACGGTGACTTCGAGCTATCTGTAAAGCATGTGGTCGTCATGGGATTAGTCGGCTCGCTTAACGAGTTGGATATCCAGGTTAATAAAAAAATTAACAAATGTTATATAAACCTCTTTTTTCCATATCATTAAATTAAAATCTATGCAAGACTTTACAGTTCAACATTGGTTGCCAAAACGTAATAAATTGATGATTTTTTTTTTCTTTTTTCCTATCCAAATACTAAAAACTTTTTATTATCAGTACCACACTGGAATAAGTTAATAAACACTCCTAACATGTCATGTGTAAATACACACACACACTAGAAGGGTACTTGAATAATATAACGAGAAACAATTTGATTTGAATGTTTCTATTTATTCATTGTCCTTTTCGATGTTATAACACGGTTTTATATGGTTTTGAGAAAATGATAATGTTTTTATGTTTGAATAAAACATAAATTTAAGGATCCGGTAAAAACTTGAAAAATGTATCGATATTAGAATCAAAATTAAGTATTTAAAAGTTATCTTTTTTGTGTAATTTTTTTAGTTCGATTTTTTATTATAATTTAATAATGAAGTAATTTATTTCTGGTTTA